ACCCCTAGATTTCTTGCCTGATTTGAAGGTTTTGAGAGAGAGACTGGAGGTGATGCTGACACTGTCCCTTTGTTTCTGTGGACCAAACACTATGACTTCAGTCTTGTCAGAGTTTAGCTGGAGAAAGTTGTTTTGCATCCACACACTGATCTGTTGGATGCAGTGACCAAGTGAGTCCACTGGTCCATAGTCTCCTGCTGCCAGAGAGACGTAGATCTGAGTGTCATCTGCATAATTGTGGTAGGACACATTATTGCTGCTTATTAACTGGCCTAATGGCAGCATGTAGAGATTGAACAGGGGGCCCAGGATTGACCCCTGAGGCACCCCACAGGTCAGGGCCATGTCATCTGAGACACAGTTTCCAATTTCAACAAAATACTTCCTGTCTTCTAGATAGGACTTGAACCAGTTTAGTACAGAACCAGAGATGCCCACCCAGTCCTCTAGTCTCTGTAAGAGGATCCCATGATCGACAGTGTCAAAAGCAGCACTCAGATCTAACAGGATCAAGACTGAGACTTTGCCTGCATCAGTGTTCAGGCGGATGTCATTTGTCACCTTGATAAGAGCAGTCTCAGTGCTGTGGTGGGCTCTAAAACCTGACTGGAAAACATCAAAGGAGTTGTTCATTTGGAGAAAGTTCGTAAGCTGTTGGTAAACAGCTTTTTCAAGGACTTTGCCAAAAAACGGCAGATTTGAGATGGGTTGGAAATTGTTCAGTACTGTGGCATCAAGACTGCTCTTCTTTAGGAGAGGCTTAATGACCGCAGTTTTCAACGCATTTGGGAATGTTCCAGATTGAAGTGACATGTTAACTATGTGAGTGAGTGGTGAAAGTAAACTGTTGAGGACGGACTTTAGAAATCTAGTGGGTAACATGTCCAGGCAGCAGGTAGATGAACTCAGACTGGTAACGATCTCTAAAACAGTTTTGTCAGTTACAGGTGCAAAGTGATTCAGCTCTAAGTGTCTCTGTGGCTGCAGCTTGTTATTTGTGTTGTGGAATTGATGGCATTTGTGATGCCCTGAACTTTGTCATTAAAGAAAACTGCAAACTCATTACATTTAGATGTGGAAATTAGTTCTAGTGGCAGTGGAGCTGGAGGGTTTGTTAATCTGTTCACTGTTGCAAACAGGACACGAGAGTTGTTACTGCAATTACCAATAATGTCCGAAAATACTTCTCTCTTGTTTTACTCAAAGTGTGTAGTTGTACATATGCATTGTTCCTCTGTAAATCTCATAATGAACCTGGAGGTTTGACTTGCGCCATTTCCGCTCAGCCTTCCGTCACTCCCTTTTCTGTGCCCTGACTGAGTCATCATTCCTCCACGGAGCTTTTTGCCTATCTTTAACCATTTTAACCTTTATCGGGAGCGATGGCATCCAGAACATTCAAAACACTCAAAGTCACAGAGTTCAACACATCATCAACATTAGAACATGAGGCAATTTCAAAATGTATCATTTCCATGAACAGTGCACCTGTGTTATCATTTATGTGTCTCCTTCGAACAACTGTAGGAGCAGCCGGTGGTTTGGGAATAACAGACAGGTCAAAGAAGACACAGAAATTATCAGACAGAGCAACATCAACCACATTGACATTTGAAATATTTACATCCTTTGTAATGAGCAGGTCCAGAGTGTGCCCTCTGTTGTGAGTGGGCTCACTGACATGCTGAGTCAGACCAAAAGTTTCAAGGACAACACTAAGCTCTTTGGCATTTTTGTCACACACATTATCCACATGTACATTAAAATCACCTGTAATGACTAAACCATCAAAGTCTGTGCAAACAACTGAAAGCATCTCAGTAAAATCATCAATAAAACTTTGACAGTGCTGAGGAGGTTTGTATATGACTATGTAGAGTCTGGACGGTGATTGTTTTAGCTCCATTTTGAAGGAAACATACTCAAATGATGAAAACACCCCAAACAACCTGTGTGTAACCAAATGATCTCTAAAAAATGCATACACTCCTCTACCCTTTTTATTTGCTCGTGTTTCAGATTCAAATTTGAAGTTGGGAGGGGTTGATTCCACTAGCACTGCATGACCTGTGTTTTTGTCAAGCCATGTTTCAGTTAAAAACATAAAGTCAAAATTAAAAGAAGAAATAAAATCATGAATTAGAAATGATTGATTACACAAAGATCTGACATTGAGCACAGCAAGTTTCTGCTTAGTTTCAGTAGGACTGGATGTTATCTTCTTACAGGGAATGTGAACTAAATTTCTCTGATTAGACAGTCTAACTGTCCTTCTTTTAATCCGTCTACGTGTTGTAACTGGAGCTATAGCTCCATCGCAGGGCCCCATCCTGATATTACCTTTATCATGACTGTATGTCCTGGGACAGCAGAGGCCCTGTGCGTCCTAGCTCTTGGTGATAACAGCTCTGGGGAAAGGCGGGGGAGGGCGAGCAGGGGAGAGTTTGGGTGAGTGACTAGGTGAGGGACCAGGTGAGGGCCGAGGAGGTGGCCGAGGAGGTGGAATACGGGGAGGTTTGGGTGAGGGTTGAGCTGAGAGAGTCTCTGGTGGTGAAACAGGCACAGTTTTGTATGGGGGAGAGTTCAACATAGTTGATGTCAGAACCCTTGACCGTGCTATATTAGGTGTGAGAGGAACCATCTTGATTCCCGATCTGACGAGGCTTTCTAGATGGTTGGGCAGTGCCATGGGTGAAGGTGGGGAGGAGAAGGAGAGTGAAGAGTCCGTTGATGGAGTAGATGTAGCAATGGGGACTCCAGGCTGGTCTGTGGGCAGCGGAGGTGATGGGTGTGCTGGTGGCGCTGGGGGAGGTGGTGGTGGTGTAGCTGACTCATTCTCTGGGGGAGGTGGTGCTGCTGACTTATTCTCTGGGGAGGGGAAGGTGGTGATGCTGACTTGTTCTCTGGGGGAGGGGGAGGTGGTTCTGCTAACTTGTTCTCTGGGGGAGGGGGAGGTGGTTCTGCTAACTTGTTCTCTGGGGGAGGTGGTTCTGCTGACTTGTTCTCTGGGGGAGGGGGAGGTGGTTCTGCTGACTTGTTCTCTGGGGGAGCGGGAGGTGGTGATGCTGCTGAGTTGTTGTCTGGGGGAGGGGGAAGTGGTTGTGGTTGTGGCAGCAGTGGTGCTGTCAATGGTGCTGACTCATTGGCTGGTTCTCTGTTAGGTGCAGCAGGGATGCTTCTCCCATTTCTCTTTTCTCTCACTGGATGCACAGGACCCTGTCCAGGCCGGTGCCTCAAATCGTGGAGGAGGTTTTCTTTCAACACTCTCACTCCACCTCTGCTTAGGTGTGGGCCATTTCCCTCAAACAGGTCCTTCCGTTTCCAAAAAAGATCAAAGTTCTCAATGTAGTGCAATCCTCTGGCCGCGCACACATTCAGCAGCCACGTGTTCAGCTGAAACAGTCGGGTAAATTTGTTCCTGTTCCTTAGGTCTATGTTGGGAAGAGGTCCACTGATAAATGTCTTAACCTCCACTTTATTAAGCTCCTCGAATAATTTTGTGAAATCCCTTTTCAAGACTTCACTCTGTTCCATTCTGATGTCCACTGCACCCACATGCACAATCAGCTGTTTAACCCCTTGGTGTGTTGACAAAACTTTTGGCAGGAGTTTTGTTATCTCAGAAACAGTGTAGGTCGGGTAGCAGCATGTTAGGATTTTTCTGTGACTCACACCACTGATAGCCCCGTCTCCTAGCAGCAACGTATCTCTGACCTTGACGTTTGGCACAGATTCCCAGTATGCCTGCACTCTTTTGCCAACTTTATTGTTCTTGTTTTGTGATGACAGTACATTATCCGTTTGTATGTTAACATCAGTCTGTGACAGTGGTGAAAATCTGTTTGTTAGCTTTATTGTGGGTGATATAACGATTTTAGCATTGTCTTTTATCACTCGCTGCGCTGGCTTAGCATTTTGGTCTGTGCCAAGTTTTGGAAAAGACACAGTATCACTCAGGTTTAACTTGAAAGAATTTCCACCCTCTTCTCTGGAAATAACTGTAGGTTGCTCACCACTGGAAGTCACTGGTAGCGTCTGATGAAGTCCTTTTTCAGTTTCTAAAGCAAATATCCGTGTTTGTAGCTCATAAATTTCTTGTTGATAGTTCCGACAGCGCTCACAGATAGAATTCCCTTGGTTTCTTCTCCCCGACATGTTGGCTCATCAGATGATTTGTTAAAAAAATTTAAAAATGTTTAAAAGTATTAATTTACTTAAAAGGAAATCAAAAATAGACACATGATCAAAAATAGACACATTATCCGTTGTTTGAGGAGGTAAACTGATTAAAAAGCGAAAACAGCAGGAGCAAGCAAGGATAACGTCCGCACTCTTCAGAAGCAGGAAGCAGGAAGCTTCTGAAGAGTACGTTTCTAAAAACATGTTAACACTGCCAAGGTTCATAACTAGGGCTAAGCAAATGAACTGTATGATAATCACTGTCCATTTCCAAAACGGGCAAAGTAAACGCCATCCAAACCTCGCGTCTTTGATGGGTTTGATGACTTCGTCCACTGCCCCTCTCACAGTGCTTCTTTTCCTTTTCTAACATTGGGTTTTGTGTTAACTCTGACTGAAACACAATTTTTTTTTTAAAAACTGAATGAAATGTAGTCTAGGTTCTTTGAAGCTTGGATTTACTGTTGAAGGTGAACTATTCAAATGAGATAATACCACGACAAAAACACCAAGAACTCACTGATGAAGCAGATCTGTGTTTTTTGTTCTTTGAATGACTTAAATAGACCTTATTGGCATCTCCATGAAACGACTAAGGTAAATCTTTATCAATAACCAGATAAGCTTTTACTGTGTTTTCTCATGTTTCTCATGACGACTCAAAAGGACATCCAACTGTCTGATTCAGCGAACACTTAGGCCTATTGTAAGCCTGTTTGTAGCCTATTTGGTTCCTCATGTTTAGCTACAATCAGGCTATTGCCCAGTCTCAATATAGCAGCAAATACCTCTGTGTCTTCTTGCATGTTTTCTGTTATTTGTATTACCATAATTTCCTAACTATTGAGTGCACCTGTCTATAAGCCGCAGGTGTCCACGTCTTCAAGAATGTTTTCATTTTCATAGGTGTATCAATCAGGTGTGAGTGGATGTCTGGCTACTGAATTTTGAAACGTTTCTTTTTGTCATTTGCACACCGACCTGCATTTAACGTATACATGTAAGACGTACCCTCACTAATGGTAATTTAACATTTTTACTTATTTTATCGATACTGTATTGTGACATTAAACAATACGACATTTCGATATTTCAGTATTTTGCACACCCCTATTTAGAACACCCTAATATTTCCAATTATTTATTGCAATTCAAGTCGTGCAAGTCCAATGAATAACTTGAAATGGCACAAAGGTAAGTACTGAACAGCCAGAGGTTAAAAAAGATAAAAGATACAAAACACAAGTCCAAGCTCTGCCAAAACTACCTCAGGAAAAAAAATTAAATAAAATGGTAAAGCTTGAAAACATGGAGTGTCCAGCAGCACAGTGTCCAGACTTAAACCCCATCGAGCTGGTTTGGGATGAACTGGACAGAAGAGTGAAGCAACCTACAAGTGCCACACATTTATGGGAACTTCTGCAACAGACTTGGGAAGAACTTTCTGTAGAATAATTGATTTCTATTGTGAAAAGTACGAGCCACGAGTGTGTTCAGCTGTTTTATCTGCCAAAGGTAGACACTCATGAATCAAAAGTTAAGAATATGTTTTGGTCAACAGTAAACTCTAACTCTATTCTCCTAACTGTACAAAGTTCCAGAGTAGCAGCCCAGTCTTATCTTGATCTTGTCCAGTTCGAAGAGGATTTTGCTGTACTCCTCACAGACCTGTGTGAGCGAGTCTGCAGAGGTGGACGTTCTGAGACCTTGTGTGACGACAAATATCTCCAGCACACTCTGCTCCAGCCTCATGAGGTTCACTCTTTCTGTACCTCCAAGAACAGACCAGGAAGATCTACGTAGCTCCTCACATACACGCTTCACTTCCTCCAACTCAAGGTTCAGCAAAGAAATAGTGCCCCTTATCTGTTTAATGCATTCTTTCACTGTCCTCCAACAATACTTTCTGTTCTGAGCACGGTTATAGTAACACAAGCATGGAAGAGCAAAAGCACATGCTAACATCTCAAATGCAGAAATCGAAGCCTGAAAACATAATATGAAGGACAGGATGAATAAAAATATTTCATACAAAATTATTCCAAATACGGCAGCGGATCCCCAGTTCTGGAGGTCCTCCAGTTCTTTTTTCCTGGTTTTAAATTGCGTCCAGTGGCTCTGCGTCTTTTCATAGCGTTCATTGTACACTTTGATAAAGGAAACTGCCGCTGATTTGAGTTCATTCATGGTTACAGTGGTGTTTCGAGGTGGAGTCTCAAACCTGCAACAGAAAGATTTACAGTCAGACATAAATGCATATAAAACTGATAAGATTGTTATTTGCAATAAGTCACTCCCCCTTCAGTGCACTATCACAGTAATAGTCACATATAATCAGAGTGTATCTCCCTAATGAAACTCATTTCTTTTGTATATTTATGAAGAGTTGTTGTGTGGGAGTATGGGTAACGGTTTGAATAGGGTCTGGGAGAGATTACTAAATTATAGAAACATGCATGAATGACATCCAAAATTTCTACAGGCAAGTTTTTGATGAGGGAACATTAAAACATGGTAGAAAGCTAGAAAAAAATCATAATATCCTCTCTTTAATGCTAGATAATGGTAGATTTGTAACTGTTTTTAGCTAAGAAATTCTTGTGGTTGTCTCCTGTCTTGGCCAGGACTCCCTTAAAAAAACGTTCCTGGTTAAATAAAGGTTAAAAATAAAATGATACATAAACTGCTAAAGCCAATGATGTTCATTATGTCTTCTTATATACTTTAACTTCTTAGGTTCTTTTTAAAGACAATGCAGTAAAGTGTGTTTACCTTGTTGACATGTTTCGGCTGCTAGCTGTAAGCCATCTCAGAACTGTCACCGGTGTTGGTGGTGACGTGTTATATATATCAGCTGTTGTTACTTCCTGTAGGCGCCTACAGGAAGTAACAACAGCTGATATATATAATACACTTTACTGCATTGTCTTTAAAAAGAACCTAAGAAGATAAACTGCTAAATATTATTATGACTGACACAAAATCAAGATTTATTTATAATGCTGTTCAAGATTCAAGATTCAATTCCTTTATTGTCACTGTCATATAAAATAACAATAAAATTACCTTAAAGCATCACAAACTGCATAGTATATTAAAAGTGCATAATAGTGTAGAGCACCCACCCTATGACACCCACCACATAAACATTACACAGACTATGTAAACATTAGCATACAGTACTATTAATAATATCAGTGCAGCAGCGAAGGGGCATATCAACAAATCACAACAAAAAGAACCAAAAGAACTGGGACATCAAGGACAGGGGGTATGCAGTCTGATGTGTTCCCTCAATTCAGTTGGTTCAAGCATGTTTGT